AATTTTTTTATATATTTTTTGATATAATTTTTACATGTTATTAAATAAGTGAATATATTAAATATTACGAGCGTTATATAAATAAAAAAAATTAATTATTTAAATAATATATTAAATTGTACCAAATAATAATATAAAAAAATTATCCAAAAATTATTTTCTAAAATAAAATTAATGATATGAAAAATCTTCAGTTGTAAAGTGACGAAATGGATACGAGAATACTATTTACATCATCATATGTGAATTAACTACTTTAATTTATCTTTAACAAAATTAAAAAATAAAATAAAATTCTTCGTTCTTCATGTTTAAAGCGCCTAGTTCAGTCAGTTCTTTCCTGTCCTCCTCTCTCTTCCTCTACTTGAACTAAGCTTTCTCTTTCTTCTCCTCTCCTCATTTCCACCTTTGATGAAACCAAATTTGGCCAAAGGTTTAGCAAGGGTTTAAGGGTTGAGCAACTTGTGAAGGTTGTGCCAAGGCCATGAAAGTTGAGAAAGCAACCAGATTTGGAGATTGAATCTTGTGCTTCGAATGCAGCATGTGTTGGGTTCAATCCTAGCCAACCTAAACTTACTGCTTGTTAGGTTCGATTAAACCCAGTGCTGGCTAGGTTTAAACCCAAGTTAGGTTCGAAAAATACCCAACATGCACTAGGTTTGATTGAATCCAAGAAGCGTGGATTCTTGCTGGGTTCGAACCTCTCGGTTTTTCCCCTGTTCCGATTTTCCTCTTCCCTATTCTTCTCTAATTCCCTTTCTCTGTCCTCTCCCTTTCAATAGTTGACTTAGGGTTCTTATCTAAAGCAATAGAAGCATTAGCAACCTGCTTATCACTCCATCGATTGCCTTTTGTACGCTAAGCTAGACCCCAGGGATGTTGCTTCGCCTCATGAAAACTAGACATCCATCTCCATGGGCGTCGAATACTACTCCTACTCCAATGAAAGTTAAGGTAGCCACCACCATGCCAATTGAGTTCAATCCGTATGTTTCTCCTGCTCTAGTTTAATCATCCTTTATGATGAGCAAGCTATTCGTGATCTTAATTACATAATTTGTCTTGATGTTTGAAGATTGTAGAAGCTTAAATTTGAGGCTATTTGTTGGTTTGCTTTATTTTTGAGCAGGCGAGGTTGATTAAATCAAGGATCTGTTAAGGAAATGGGAAAAGGGTTAGAATTAAACTAAATTTTTAGTGTACCTCTAGAATTCATGTTTCATCATCAATATCTTCTTTGAATTGATTTGGTTAATGGGAGAAAAAAAAGTAGGGCAATTGCAAGTTAAGGAGTTAGGTTTTGCAGAAGGGAAAAGAGGGAGGAAAGAGAGAGAGAAAGAAAAAGAGGAAGAAAAATAAAAGAAAAGGAAAATTTTTAAGTTTTTTCATTTTTGTTGCCATGTCATTCTTTTTTCCTTGCTAGCTATCCTACCTGCAAAATATTTTGTACATGTCATTCTTCTCCCATCAAATAACAGGA